AATATTTCCTACTTTTAACATTCAGACAGTGCCTAGAGGTCCTCTTTGGATTTCAGAAATAATATATATTTAACTTGGGCTTGCAGTTCCAATCCATTTATCTAATTAACTAAAAGTATACCAATTCTGAATGAGATGCTGAGAACAGGCTGCACAATGGATTGCAGGCTCCTCTGCCACTTATCCACATGATCCAGCTGATTTAATGGCACTAGAAGTCAGGGATGAAGTCTGGAATGTTTGGCAGTTCCCACTGGGTGAATCACAGGACAGACTTCCTTAATTTCAGAAAAAAAAAGTTATACTATCGTCTAGAAATATTTACTTTTCTAAGGAGAAGCAACTTCAAGTTTGTTTGGGGGCTCTGTAAAATAGCAAATGTTTAGTCTTTGGCCATGAGTCTACCATGAAAATTTATGTGCCTATCATTTGCTGAGCGTTGTCTGATCCATCATGCCATAAAGCTGGGTGGACACAACAGCAATCAAATGGAAGTGATATAAATAAATAAAGTTCAAGTTGTTACTGACAGCACAGTTGGCTGAGAGAGTGCTCCTGTATCCATGACTCCGGTTGCTACACTGTCTCTCCTTGCTCAGCTGGCACCTATGGTCCATGAGGAGTTCCTTATACCTACTTTTCAGAAAACAAAGTCTTTGCCCTGGCTAACATATAATTCTTCATAAAATTCTGGTACTCCCCACTGGTGGAAATGTGTAGCACCCTACTAAGGGGTAGCTCTGAAGGAAAGTTTTCAGAGAAAATTGTTTATCAAGCAGTCTACCTTGCCGATTAGACCTGCAAGAATTGATGAACAGAATTTGAGATCTGCATCGACCCATAGATTGTTCTAACAGTTCAGCTTGAAAGTCAGCAACTTGAAAGGAATCTGATAGGAAAATTGTTGACAAGGAGGATAGAAAATAGGATTGGATAATTGTTGATAAGGAGAGGTAAGAAGTACATAGATATATATCACTAGTAAAGTTACTTGTGCCCCCATGGCAGTGCTTAGAAAGAACAATAGAAGCAGAGCAGAATCTTTATAATAATCAAGTCTATAGGATATTTGGTTCCTTAAATGTCAATCATCATTTCTGCAAGTCATTTATCTCTTTACCCAAGATCTCATGCATAATGTGGTAATTTTTCTATAATAATTATGGTGGTTCTGATTTCCCAGTTTATCCATGACTGTGCCAAAAATTTCTTTCCTTCTAGCAATGCTGCCTCCCTCTCAAATCACAATGCATCCAGTGACTCCTTGGTAAGAAGGAATGCCTGGCACTCTTCTAAATGACTCCTTGGCTGTCAAGCCATTTAGTTTCATACCTAAAATTCAGAGTCCCTCCCGCCTCTTTGGGCCTAGGTGAAACACCACATTAGAGAATAAGAGATCTGGATCGGCGGTGGCCTGAAAAGGATGACATCAAAGTGAAAGAAAATTAACTCCCTATAGGGTGAATTTTGGCCAAAGCAGAATAGAATATGGAAATGCGCCTGCCAGATGATTTGCTCCTCTTCCATAGGTCAATCTGAAGCACAGCTTTACCATGCATGCCATCTAAAGAAACACTAAAGGTGAGCCGGTGCCAAGTTTGTGGGTTTTTTTCTCAGCTTATTATGAAAAAGCAGCAGTCACCACACTGAATAACTTTACATCCCTCCATCACTCAGTTCCTCTTTTCTCATTTTCACTGTCCTGAATTTTAACCTCCCAAATAGGAATCTTTCCCTTCGTATCTATTTATTTTTTCCAAAAAACCACACTAAGATACAATGACATTTTTAGTATTTGAATACTGTGGAAATGACAATGGAAATGAATAGAACAAATATGAATAACATGAAGGAGACTGACTGGCTATTTTAGGCATAGAGAAGTGTAGAAATGCCAATTTTGCCCATTTGGCAGGTAAATGCTAATCCAAAGAAAATAAAGAAAATATGTAATAAAAGAGAGGCTTAAGGGGCAGAAAAGAAAATGGAGGCTGAAGAACTGTGAGTCTGTTGAAAGTGATAGATAACTTCTTCCAGTGTTGAAAATTCAGAGTGAGAATTATAAAAATGACATTGGCGATCTGATTAATTGCAACAGACTTCTGTTTAGCCACTGAGGCTAAAACAGTAACAGCAATGATAATACAGTAATCTTTTAAATAAAGGTAGCTACCAAAATAAAATACATAATAACATAAATAGAAATCTAGTACCAAAATATCACTTAGAATTTTAAAATTTTTCCAAGTCATAGTCTTGCTTCTTTTAAATTAAATTATACATGGGTACCTGATCTTTGCTAATGAAACATTCAAAGCAGTTTACCTTTAGATAATTTTCACTGCAACCCCCAGCAACATTCTTTAAAGTATTTCCCTTTAGATTTTAAAACTTCTTGCTTATTCAAATGAATCCCCTTAATCATTCTTTTATTAGGCATGGCTATTTTAAACATGTAAATATTACGTGTAATATTTTGAGTTTATTCTAGCGTAATTATAATTATGGACACGATGTCAGTATTTTAACTGTTATTTACCCAATCAGCACATTTACCAGAATATGTTATCTTCTGATTTACATGTAATCTCTACTGTCTTTTCTATAGTTCTGAGAAAGGCCCTGTGTATGTAATAAATATTTTCCTTCTGTTTCAGAGTTCTAAAATTTAACTAGATAAACAAACTGGCAAGTGTTGTAGTTTATTTAAAATAAAATTGAGACTTCATTGGAATTGTTAAGCCATTTTTAAGACAAGTTGAGCAGGATACAACACAATAGAGACTCAGTAATTTCTTTACAAGTACACTCATATTTAGGTCAAGTCTTAACCACATTTCAGGATTATATATGAGTATTACCACTGAGTAATATATAAACAAGGTAATAAACTTATAGAGGAAATATATCAAATAGAAAGATAGCCTCTTTTCTTTAATGGTAAGTGAGGAAATTGCTTCTTAGCACAATGAATGTTTGAACCCAGAGAGAAATAGAAATATAGGCAAAATTGCTTAAAAACCAAACAAATAAAAAAAAAAAACCACTATACTACTATTACCATTGACAACAGAAAATAGAAATAACTTCATTTTATCAATCTTTGAATTCCTTACCTGAAAGACAATGACCAATATATTTCTAATCAATTTTCCTATTTAATATTTTTGAAATTTGAAAATGAAGCATTAACAGCTATTTTCCTGAGATACAACTGTGATAAGTAATTTAAAAAAAAACAAAAACACCTAGAATATACACTAAATTGAATGACAATGTGCAAAGTGCTAATTTTTAGGAAGTTATTTTTAAAGTTTACTAATAAACATATGTGTGTACATTTCATTTTGCCTTGTTTTATCTTTATCCTGGTTACTTTTCTTTTTTTAAACAATTATTTATTTGTTTGTTTATTCATACAAGAACTGGGGTACAGGCCAGAGGTATGGGGGGTAAGAGGATTCACCAGAGACAGAGTGGAGAGCAGAACAGGCAGATTGACTAAAATACACTGCTTAGAGAAGCAGTGGGTGAGTCAGGAGAGGTCTGCTGTGCCATGTGGGTAGCTCCCTGGCGGGGGATCGCACTCTAGCTGCAGTGGCTGCAGATAGCTTCATAGTTTACGTCTTAACCCCTTGCACCACCAGGGAGGCCCAATCCTGCTTACTTTTCTCTGAGCCTTCTGGATATGATCTTGGCTCCTGTCATTAATTTTGAAATACTACTTTGTAACAGTCATTATTACTTCAAACGTCCCTTCTGTTTTATTCTCTTTTTATTCCAATTATGAGATAGTACACGTTTTGATATTATTCCAAAGCTCTTGGAATTCTATTTATTTTCACTTATATTTTACTCTACAATTCAACTGGGGGATTTTCAGTTGCATTATCAAGTTCCCTGATTCCAGCCTTAGTTGATGAGCAAATTGAAGGCATTACTCCTATTACCATGTTACAGACGTCTCACTTTTTATTTCAGTTCTTAGGGTTTTCACATCTCTGATGACATTCATTGCCTATCTATTCTTCATGGTGTCTACTTTTCCCTTTAGAGCCTGTGTGTGTGTGTGTACATGTATTAGAGCCTATATATACACACTGCACCCACTTATTTCTAATTTCCGGATAATTTACATCTGAGTCTTCTGTTTGCTTTATCCCTTCCATAGATTTTTCTTTCTTTCTTTTTTTATTTTTTTTAAGATTTATTTATGCATACAAGAGCTGGGGCACAGGCCACAGATGTGGTGGGAGTGGGAGAGGATTCACCAGAGAGAGAGTGGGGAGCAGAACAGCCGGATCTACTGAAATACACTGCTGAGGGGAGCAGCAGGCGAGACAGGAGAGGTCTGCTGTGCCATGTGGGTTTCTCCCTGGCCAGTGGGGAGCCGGGGATGGCTCCCCGGAGAGGCTTCGGATTGCTTCATAGTGTGGTGCTTAACTCCTTGTGCCAGCAGGGAGCCCCTTCAGTAGATTTTTCTTACCTTTTAGTATGTTATTGTAATTTTTCTATTAAAAGTAGAGCATGTCATATAAATGTCATCTAAAACAACAGATACTAAGGTAAGTATGTCTTTAGGGTGAGGATTATGATAACTTGGGTAGGATTTAAGTCATATATAACATCTATTGTTGCTAAAGGTACCAAAGACTTCAAATTTATCATGTCCTTGCTCCTGCTTCACTTCTAGGCTTTCAGAAATCCCCTATGCACTGTTACTCAGGGAGTCTATGTAACCCTCCATTATCACTCTGCAACTTATGGTGGAGGGATAGAGTATGGGTAAAGGGGATACTCCATAATCTTCAGTTTATGTCTCAATCTTAAATGTGTCTGAGTCTCTATGACCTTGTTAATCATGAGAAATTATATTTTCTGGTCCTTCTTCAGGGATGCAGTTCCCAGGTTTCCTGCTACCATTTTGGCTTCAATTATTTCCATCTACCTTCTTAAGTCCCTGTTCCCTGGTAACTGTGACATTTTTGATTCCCTTACAGAAGATGTGAGAGCTGAAGCTGCTTGGAGCTAGAATAATGTTGGATTATCCAGATGCTATAATGTATCCAAACTGCTCTCTGGGAATTCTCTCCTTCTGGAGACTGGAACTTCACTAGGGAAAAAGTGAAGAAGTCTGAGAAGGTCTGTCCTGTCTATTCTCCTTTTGAGTCTACCAAGGGATTTTTCTCAGAAACTCACATGAGAATCATGGGGGCTCCTAGAGAGAAAGCTGTGAAAACATTGGAGACTCCATATGGCTGCACCCCTCAAGACTTTCTCTATTTGGCTACCAGCAATTTTCTCAAAATTACTACATAAGGATTCATACCAGTGGTAGCCAGGGGATTCTATTCCAGGTTGGCAGATCTCAAACACTGTATCTCTCTTAATGCACCTGCACGATAAATCAAATTCCCAAGATATCATTTGCCTTGCAATTATAGTTTTCTGAAAGGACCAAGAAAAGGTATAGGTTTTCAATATATTCAGGTTTTTCTTGTTAGGATGGGAGTGATGACTTTTAGGTCAAGAGTTCAGTCTTCTTTTTTGCTATTATCATTTATAACTACTTTTTAATGATCATTATTGGAATATAATATTATTTTACTAATTATTATTCTACTGCTGAGAAAATAATAGGCATAGTTCTATTCTTAAACAGTTATGCTTGTATATTAAATATACATATTTATAATAATTTGCATTAATGGGCTGTGAACCAGCATTTATATTTTGTCAAAATTAAGACATAATAAACTTTAGCAAGGTATCATTTCTTCTTTATTATGTTTGCTTTTTTGTTTTTTTAGTTCCAGTTTCTTTTCAAATTATTTTCATTATAGATGAAATAGTATTCAAATATATATATGATCCTAAATGGCCTCTTTGTACACCACTCTTTATTTCACATTATGTCATTTGCATTCTTTTATCTGCTTATTTACTTTGTTAATGATATTATTCTGCTTGTTGTCCTAGAATAATTCTTTAAGATATCAAATTTAAAGTATTAGATTAGTGTATTATTGCACAATTAATATTTAAAAATTAAAAAAAGAATTCTTTGTATTTAAATTGTTTTGAGGAGGTATTTAAATTCTAGATTGCAAAATATCTTCCTCAAAATGTTGGTCTATTCATTTCTAGCCTAGCTCATTAATAATGAGAAATCTCTAGTCAAATGAATTTTGTTGTAGATGGCATTATATTTTCTTTTTAATGCTCAAAAAACATTTTTGGGATGTCTTCTTCACCCTAACTTTCTAAATGCTTGCCATAATAGTCTAGATCTGTAACTTTTTTATTAATTCAACATATGGTAGCTCTCATTTGAAAAATTTGCATTTTTTTCCATTTTAGGAAATGGCTTTTACAGCTTTTTATTGCTTCTCTATTCCTTCTTCTAAGTCTAGAGACCTACATAAAGTATAGAAAAGTAATCAGGAAAATATTTGTTTCTCCTTATGCTTCATTTACTTGTTACTCTCGAGTATTACAGTGATACTTTATGGTGCTAATGCATAGATGATAGAGGAAATATTCAATTGACCTATTTATTAAACTCTGGTTAGATATTGATGTTCTATATTCCTTAGCATGGGGAAGTACAAATCAAAACCAAAAATGAGGGTTCATCTGACATTGGTTAGGATATTTAGACTCTGATAGAATCAAAAACAGAATAGAACTGTTAGGAATCAAAAAGCCAAGAAGGAATGACTGTGGGCAAGGATGTGGAGTAAAAGAATCCCTCATGCATTGTTGATGCAAATGTAAATTGATGCAGCCACTATGGAAAGTAGTATAAAAGTTCTTCAAGAAATTAAAAATAGGGGCCTTTCTGCTGGCCTAGAGATTAAATTTCAGCACTGTTACCGCTGCAGCCTGTGTTCAGTCCCCGGCCAGGGAGCTAACCCACATATGGCACAGCAGACCTCTCCTGTCTCAATGACTGCTCCCCTTAATAGTTTATCTCATTAAAACTGCCTGCTCTGCTCCTGACTCTGTTTTTGGTGAATCCTCTCACCCCCTGCACCTCTGGCCTATACCCCAATTCTTCTGTGCAAAACTAAATATTTTTTAAATAAATGAAAAATAGGACTACCATATGATATAGAAATCCTACTCCTGGGTATTTACCTGAGATTATGAAAGCACTAATTTGAAGAGGTATTTGACCTCTGTGTTTATTCACAATACCCAACATATGGAAACAACCCTTGTCCCCAATGATGAATGATTAAAGAAAATATGATATATATATATATATATATACAATGGTATACTACTCAGCCATAAAAAGATGAAATCTTGCCACTGAAGACATGAATGGACCTTGATGGTATTATGCATAGAAATTAGTATGACTTCATTCATTTGTGTAATATAAAGAAAAAGAGCAAATGAACTAACAAAACAAACCCAGACTCTGTCAATAAAATGGTGGTTACCAGAGGGAAATAGAGGGGACTAGAACAGGTAAAGAGGCTAACAGGTTGGTAGTAAGTGAGGAGTGGCATTTGGCAGTGGATGTGGTGTGATATAGGCAGTTTCTGTGGTGAGAAATAGTATATCTGAAACCTATACAGTGTTGTAAACTAATGTTTCCTCAATATTAATTAATTAAATAATATCTGAATAGTGAATATACATCAGAACTAGTTTATTTTTAGACTACTATATAATTTTCAGTTTTGTTAATATTCCCTGTTATAATATATTCTCTACTCTCTAAATATAATCTAAGTGTCCATTTGTTCCCTATGATTTTTAAAAATTTTGATCAATAATTTAGCACTATTTATCATTAATATTGTGATAATTCACTTTATAATTTATGATATATTTCATCATTCAAAATTAAAGCTAAATAAATGTTAGTATATAGTTTAATATCATTTGATCTTACATATGGAAATATACATATATGTGAACGAAATGATCAAAATGGACATTTTTCATCTCAATAATGTTAGATATATATCCAAATACATATTTTATAAAATATTCAAAACCTCACAAACTTTAAGTTAAGGACATTTAGCTTCCTTTTGCAACTCACACAGTTTCCACGGAAACAGCAGCTGGCACACAGAAGCAGAATGTTTATAACTTTGATATTTCAGCTGTGCTTGTCAGGTAGATGATGGAAATGTCATTTTTCAAAGAAGCACCTGCAGCTTTTGGGTTCCAACAGGTTTGTAGAATATAACATTTTAGCTCTGAAAAAGTTTTAGTTCAAAATGTTTCAATATAAATCCTAACTATGGCTGCTTTTCAAAGAGGCTTAATTATTCTGGGTCTATTTTGGAAAATGACTTTTTAAATGTAATAACTGATTTGAGGTAACTTAGAATTATAATGGCCTACAGGACCCTCATAGTCACAATGAGAAAAATTAGCATAGTAATTTGCCTCAGGTCAGACACCTACTGGAGGTAGATTCTGCCCAAATCTACATTTGTACAGGTACATCATGACTATTCTAGGAGATCCGGTCCTCTGTGGCTGCAATTTCATCTAAAATGCTTCCTTCTTGGTGGCAAATCACACATAGGAAGTGGGTCAGTTTCCCCCAATTTATTTTCTCATGTTCCACCCTTCCCTGCCCCCAACTAACCAACAAATATCAAAACTTGCTGATCTTTAACACCAACAATCTGTTATGCTCAACATAATTTTGTCAGTGATAGACTATAAGGGCTAAGGCTGTGGGTTCAAACTCCAAAGCACTTATTAAAAAGGTCATTGTCATTTCCTCTTGTCACATGCATTTAGAAAAACTGCTAGTATCTGAACACTGGCAATGGCAAAAACAGAAGTAAAGTGAAAGAGAAATGACCTTAATTAAGTAAAAACATTTCTCAAGTTCTCAAGTTCGTTTCAAGTGTATTTTCAATTCAAGAATAGATGTAGTAAAAGGAAGATAAATGATGTCCTTTTTGAAACATCACATTCTTAATTTTATATAGAGAACTCAAGGAAGATGAACTGAAAGAGTTCATAGATTAGATAGCACTTCAGCATAAAAAATGGCCCTCAGAACCTACACTTTTATTATCAAGATACATTTTGTCAAAACATCCTAATCACTTGGTCATATTAATTTTTACAGGAACTTACTTGCTAAAGCAAGTGATCAATTTTACTAGTTCAATGGATTTTATTGAGAAATTGTTGCATACAAGACATTACCAGACTGTTGAATAACAAAAAGTAATTTTTAAAAAATAGCACCAATTGATAACCCAATAAAATCTACATCTGAACTTGAGTCAACAATCTTCATTAAAAATAGTCTATCCCAATTTATGATGGTGTTCGAATACCTTATATTCTATGTTAACTTTAAAATTCTGTTGTGTTGTTTTAAAAAAATAGGCAAATTGAAGAAAAGGGATTCGAGGAACAGAGGAGAAAATGATATTTTCTTGGCCTATTTTTTCTCATCATTTGTAAATTAAAAAAATTTAAAGGAATTCACAAGCTATAAGGCTGAGGCTCAGCTTACTGTTTTCATTCTCTAAATACCACAAAGTAATGTACTAAAGAATTTGAAAATATTAAATATCATTCATTTATACACTCATTAGATAAATATTTATTATACTTTTTGTCAGATATGTACTATCAAATCACTTAGAAAACATCAAGGAACAAACTAGCTAAAGATCCCTGCTCTGCTGTACCCTGTATTCTATAGCGGAAGAGCGTGGGCAAAAGGACACAATGACATGTATATTATGAAGTATTTTAGAAGGCAAAAATTGCTATGCCATGAACATAGAATGCAACAGGAGAGAAATAAGAGTCTTAAGGTTTGACTTTGGGTGGTCAGGTTAGAGCTCCCTGGGAGGTGATATTTGAGCAGATTCAGAGACTGAAGTGGTAGAGGCCTGAGTCCAGTGACCTTTTAGAAAAGTGTTCCAGTCAAAAGAAGAGTCATAATTTTCTCATTGAAAGTTAAATAATAATGATTTTACTCATTGTTTCATGAGCTTTTCCTATAAACTCAATCCTTTAAACATCAAGGTATCTACACAACTACATTTGATGATAATGAAGTACTATAATTCATTGGATTTTTACAACCCCAATTTTGTTTAGTCTATATTTTGTGCATGTTTTCTATGGAACACATTATGAAATACAACTGTGGGATGTGAAGATGAAAATGAGGCTGTGGCTCTGGGGGAAATTGGTATATAATGAAGAAGAAAGTTGCATCATTCCGCCCATATCTCCAGGAGCAAGTCATATAGTCCTCATTTGACAGTGAGGAAATTGAGGTTCAAAGAGGGAGAGGCAGCAAGAAAATCAGTAGAGCACTTTCTTCTATTCATCCATTGCCTATAAAACACGGGATAAAATAATACAGTCTGGTTATTTATGCTAATGGAAGCAAAGAATGTCTGAAGAAATGGAAAATAACAGTCATGCTGGAGATTTTAGTATTTTTTTCCTACAGTTTTAAAATGCATTGCTTTGGAAATAGACTATAATCTAGAAAATAACAGCTGTATCATTAAAGAGATCAAATTTCAGTAAAAAAAAAAAAAACAGCTGTTTCAATTATCCATCAAACAGAACACAATTCCTTGTATTCCATATTAGAGATTCATATCTACATTTATTCAGGTCAGTTTAACTA